GGCTAGCGCACTCCGTGGAACGGATCTCCTTTGCTATGAGGTTTTGGTTGAAATCGACATCATGGGAGAACAGAAATTCTTAAGTATTGGGTTGCGCAAGACCGAGCTCACTCTCTTCCTTGACCAGTGGTTTATGAAACGGTCCATGAACGCCTTTGCGAGCACTGCCCGAATTCTAGGGCAACTGCTACGGCTTGCTAACTTGGGAAGAGGCGGCTCGGAGTGAGCCGACGGAGTCGGAGGCGTCGGCCCGTGCGGGAATCGCAGCACACGGCCCGGCCTCTCGGAGGCCTGGCCCCGGTGGGGGGGCTCGGCGGGTGCCCTCTCGCAGCCTTGCGGGCGCTCCGCCGGAGGTACCGGTCATTTTGACCCTATGGTTTCGGGCGGGGCTGCGGCGGGAGAGAGTGGACGGTGGATTTACGGCGAGGTCGGGCAAGCAGCCGGCGCTCGCTCGTCGGCGGCCATCGTTCTCGCCAGAGCCCCGCCTGCTCGGTTGGGGCGGCGGCGTCGGATGAGCGAGTTCGGGGGTCTCTCTGCAGGTCCGCCGGGCTCGGACGGATGAGGGTCAGCACTGCGGTCGCTCCGCCTCTCGAGGTGGAGGCTGGCGGATTGGGGTTGGTGCGGGGGCGCGCGGCCGGTGGATTGGGGTACGGGACGGGCGCGGCTCGCGGGAGCGGCCTGGCGAGTGCGAGGGCGTAGGCTCGGTGACTTCGGAGCGCGTCGAGTAGTGGCCACGGGCGCTAAGGATGGGTCTGCGGTGGCCCAGCGGCCCCGAGGTGCGGCTGACATTGCTTCTTGGCGGCGGCGCGCGGCCCCTGTTCTTGTTGGCGCTCGAGGGCCGGGCGCCGGTGCGCGGGGCGGCCCCAGGAGAAAGCTACTTCGCACGACCGCGACTCGGCCCGTGTGGTGCTGAGGTGAGGCACCCGCTTGATGGGGGCACATTCGTGGCGTCAAGGTCGATGCGCTTGCTGAGACCTTCGGCGGTGCAGAAGGGTGCTCGGGCCTGACTCCCGGCGCTAGCTCGACGCCGCCGAGACAGAGAGACGAAATGGAGTGCTAAGGGGCTACTGCCCTCTGTGCGTTGGCGTCTCGGTTGTCCTCGGTTGGAATGTTAGGGGCCTCGGTGTCCCCCAAGACGGCGTGAGGATTCTTTGGCCTCATGTGTTCGAAGAAGTTAGATGTTTGTGCTCTAGTCGAGCAAGCTCGGCCTTACAACGCTAGCTCGGCTTTCGTCAGGTTTCGGCAGCGGTGGAAGCTTGCCTCTAATGCCTCCGCAGATCCTCCAAGCTCGCATTGCCCTCTTTTGGAATCCGGATACGGTTTTGGTCGAGCTCTTGGATTTTTCCCCTCGAGGGTTGCATGTCCATATTCGTAGCCTTGTTCATCGATCACGGTTTCACGCCACCTTTGTTTACGGTCTTCACACGATCTCCGATCGTCGTGAGCTTTGGACGAATCTTCGGGCCTGGAATCCTACTAGTCGGTGGATTGTTCGGCGGCCCCAACTGCATCCTTTCTCGGAAGATAAGCATAACGGAGTGATGGGGTCCAATTATGAGTCTTCGGATTTTCGCTCTTGTTGTTTGGATGCGGGTCTACGGGACCTAGCGTATACGGGCGGCCGGTTCACTTGGAACGGCGGCAGTGTTTGGACCAAGATTGACGAGTTCTCGCCAACCCCCTGCGGCCGTTTCCTCTCGCCTATTTCGGTCCATTTCGGTCCACTGGGGCTTTTTCGACCATGCTCAAGCACAGGTTCGGATTGATAGTCCGCCTCCTTTCTGCTGGGAAGCCGTTCAAATTTTTTAACATGTGGGCTCTACACGACGGTTTCCTCCCGATTGTTGCTAGCCACGGGCTGTGGTATTCATGGCACCCAGATGTTCTCTCTCTGCCGCGAGCTTAAGGCTCACAAGCGGCCCCTGCGTGAGCTCGATAAGCTTCACTTCGGTCATATTTACGAGCGTGTGGCCGTGCGCAAGATGATCTTGAGCGGCTTCGGCAAGCCTTACGGTCCGACGGAGATAATGTCCGCCTTGTTGAGCAAGACAAGCGGCACCGGCGGGCCACGATCAATCTCAAGTCGGCGGAGAAAATGTTTTACGGTCGGAAGCTCAAATGCCGAGTTCCTTGAAGAGAGTGATAGAGGCGGTCGGCTCTTCCACTCCCTCGCTGACCCAACATCACAAGAAGAACTTTATTGCGGCTATCACGGATGATGAGGGTCGGCTCACGACGTCGCTCTCGCCGTCGGTGACACCTTTGTTGGCTATTTTCGGAGGCTTCTTGGTGCTTGCTCGGGATACCACCCCCCTTGATGTCGGGGTTGTTTCTAGTGGGCCTTGCCTTGATTCGAGCTCTCATGCGCTTCTCCTTGCCCCAGATTCTCGATGACTTAATCCGCGAGACTCTGTTTGGTATCAACAATGATAAAGCCCGGGCCGGATGGTTTCTCGTCTCTCTTTTTCAAGACGGCACGGGACATAGTGGGGGCGAGCTTTTGTCTTGCCATCAAAGATTTTTCTCCTGCGGCCAGTTGCTTAAACGGGTTAACCACTCGGTTATTGCGCTCATTCCGAAATCGGCTCATGCTTCCTCCCCCTCGGACTTTCGGCCAATTTCTTGCTTTGCAATGTGGTTTACAAGGTCATCTCAAAAATTCTCTCTTCCGGGTTAGCGAGTGTTTTGGTCGACATCATCGAGTCCCATGCAAAACGCTTTCTTAGGTGGACGGAAAATGTCGAGATAACATCCACCTTCTCCAAGAGTTGCTCGGCACTATGGCCGCAAGCGTGCCTCACCTCGGTGCCTTCTTAAAGTGGACTTCAAGAAGGCTTTTGATTCGTGCAATGGTCCTTTCTCCGTAATCTTCTTTGGTCGCTTGGCTTCCAGAGTACATTTATCCACTTAATCATGGCTTGTGTGGAATCTCCATCCTACTCGGTTTCGGTGAATGGTTGCTTGTTTGGTTTTTCCGCGGTAAGAGCGGGATTCGGCAAGGCGACCCACTCTCCCCTTACCTCTTTATAGTGTGCATGGAGTACTTCTCTCGCATGCTTACATGCTGCCTCGATTCTCTGCTGGTTTCCGTTTTCACCCGCGATGTGAACTTCACCGAATCGGTCACATTGCGTTCGCCGATGATGTTATGCTTCTTTGTCGTGCTGGCCGCGCTTCGGTTCGGTGCTTGACACGGCGGATTCACGTGTTCGGCGGGGTTTCGAGTCGACCATTAATTCGGCCAAGTCCTCGATTTACTTTGGAGGCATAGGAAGTTCTACGAAGCGAGGCTCTCCTCCGAGATACGGGGTTTTACGAAGGCTCATTCCCCTTTCGTTATCTTGGTGTCCCTCTCGGTCCTCACGCGTCTCTTAGCCTGACCAATTCTCCCCTCTTTTGCGAGCTTAGAGTACGCGGTACAATCTTGGATGGGGAAGCATTTGTCTTACGTTGGCCGACTTGAGCTATTGCGCTCGGTGTTAGCGAGGGATTATTCACTTACGGCTAGCAATTTTTCCTATTCCGGCGGTGGTTCTCTCCCGCATTACTAGTATTTGTCGCAACTTCCTGTGGACCGGGGACTACAAGAGGGGTCATTCGGCCTTAGTGGCATGGTCTCGGATTTGCCGACCAGAAAGTGGAAGGGGGCACTGGCGCTATGGCATCTGCCTACTCTCGACCGGTGCTTATCTTGCGCGTCGAGTACGTGGGACATTCACCGCAGAGACGGACTCTGTTTGGATCCGTTGGGTACATCACTATTATCTAAGAGATCAATCGGTACTGGCGGTGTCAAGTGCGCCCATCTGCCTCTCCCACACGGAAGGCGTTGCTCTCCACACGCGACAAGTTTGCTTGGAAAGTTCGGGGATAGCTCTCGGGTTGAGGCTCGCTTCGACACTTGGGGCCTCACCAAATTCATTCGTAATGCCTACCAAGACCTTCGCCGGTAGGCCCTCTCGTTAAGCGGCACGAGTTATGCGGGAGCGATGGGCCTTGCCACGACATGCTTTTGTTCTTTGGTTGGCCGTTCAAGGGAAGCTCAAAACTATAGATCGGCTACGATTTATTCCGAGAGGATGTCCGTTGTGTCCTCTGTCGGTACGCTCCGAGTCTCGCTCTCACTGTTTTTCGAGTGTTCTGGACCAGCTTGCCTCTGGGCGTTAGTCGAGCGCTTGGCTGCGGATTCGTCGACATACAACTTCGTTGCCTAGCGCCATTCGGGCACTCTCTGTCCGTCGGAACAACTTGCAAGCCCGTATGCGTCGGCTTTCTTTAGGGGTCATTGTTTACATTATTTGGGAAGAGCGGAACAAGCGGCTGTTTTGACGAGTCTCACTCTCCAACCCCGATTGATCGGGCTTTTCGCAGATTTCAAATTACGTTCTACATGATTTTCCACTTTCATGAGAAGGATCACCATCTCCTCGATGTTGGTTGGCCGTTCCCTATCTGTTGCCTCGGCCTTGCTCTTTGGCTCTGCCTACGCGATCGGTTTGTCTGGTCTCCCGGCGCTCGACATCGTCTTTTGGTTTTATCACTTGTTGTTTTTGTATGGTGTAGAACCTATGTAATTGGTTCTAGTTAGCTAGTGTAGGGCCTCTAGCTGGTTGTTCTTGGAATCTCTCTTGTTTGTTTCCTTGATCAACCTTCTAGCTCTAGCGCTTTTGCTTTGTGTTTTTGGGAGCATGTTCCCGCTTTTTGTACATTTGTATATTGTGTCTCTGGCTGGTTTTCCCGGCTCGTTTCTCTTTGATTAATATACTTACATTTTAATCAAAAAAAGAAAGAGCTCTCGGTCTGTCAATCCTTACTATGTACGGACACGGTAAGTTTCCCAGTGTTGAGTCAAATTAAGCCGCGAGGCTCCACTCCTGAGTGGTGCCCTTCGAGTCAATTCCTTTAAGTTTCAGCCTTGCGACCATACTCCCCCAGAACCCAAAAACTTTGATTTCTCATAAGGTCTTGGCGGAGTC